ATTCTGGCTACTTTTTTTTCTCTGTGTTAGGTTTTAGTTATAATTTCATTTGATGTTTTTTGGGCAAGAATTTCATTTAATATTTGATAATAAAAAGAAATGATGTCTTCATTTTTATTTGCAACAAGTCATTTAGAGGTCTTTTGGGTGATAATTTTCTTCCTTGATAGGGAAAATGCTTGTAAAAGTTAGCATCTCCACTATCAATTGTTAAAAACTCACTAGTAATTCCAAACACTGACTCTATGGTTCTGGGCACATGCTATCAAATTTTCAGTTTAGGCATAATGTGGAAAATGAAAAACAAAGTCTCAAACTAATGAATTAGCAATTCCTAACTTCCAAGATATCATCTGAAGGTGAGAGACATTTGTTTGCAAGGATTGCTTATGTCCAGATATCATGTTTTAGTTTTAACAAATGTTAACATCTTTGGATTCTCATGGGGAAAAGAAAAACCGAGTAAAACTCATTTTAGATTAATAGACAGACACAACCCATCAAGTTTCTAAAGTTAATACATACAATTAAGCTCATCATAATTTTCATAACAAGGATAACCCCAATTGGTAAGTAGAAGGCATCAAAACTAACAAAATTAAAGAGCATTACCCAATCTTGGTCCCAGCTATATGGGCTCTTGGGAGGGGGTAGACTGGATACAAACATAACCTTCAGCATTTTTTGGCACAAAGTGGCCATTCTATCAAAATTAACCCAACAGATAACCATAATGCAATAATGACCAAAAAGACCTAAAAAATTAGACAAAAGCAAATGATTTTGTCTGCACAACAAGGTGAAGTAATAAATTAGACAAAAGCGAAACCAAATCTGCACAACAAGATCAACTAAAATGAATACCTTGTATGCATAGATACACAAAGAGCTCCAGCATTACATATAAGATCTATTCCTGAAACGATGGGTTCTTCATTTATTTAAATATAATCTTTTTTTTATTGGTAATACCTAAATACAATCTTAGACATGCGCTATTGGCAATATGAATCAGTAGAAGAAAGTAATCAAAATTTTACATCACCATAATAGATGAAGAAATATTTAAATCATCGTAAAGCAGGACAGCTAGGAAGTAGCAATTCTTCATTTATTAGGTGTGGCTAGTGTTTATCATGATAATGACAAAGATGGGTTCTGAAAACAATGTGGTGTCAATAAAGTACATTATGATTGGAACAGAAAGACTTACGGGCGAATCACATATTTTGTTTTGCCTTCGGAATCTTTTCCAAGTGGGGCCCTGCAAATCACACGAATATTTAAAATTGATAACTATAACCAAAATCATTATAATAAATCCCATCACACAGACTCTTGCTTCAGAAGATAAAAAACTTTTGAATGAATAAACTACAGGACGCATTAAACTCCTTCAAATAGAAGGGGGAAATATGATATGATGTAAATAATACCTTGTAATAATGCATGATGCAACATCTAGACCCAACTTGGCAGTGGGATCAAATGAAAACCTGCAATATTAAAAGAACAGTAATTATCAAAAAAAAAAAAGAAAGAACAATAACACCCAGCTAAATGCAACAGAGAAGATTAAGAGGAAGTCATCCAAGCATTGACATATTAAATTAGACTAAATTTGACGATAAATAAGTTCTGCAATTCATGCAAACAAGTTTCCTAACATCATTGTACCAAAAAAGATGAAAAAACTTTCTTCAATAGAAATTGCAAAGAAAAAGAAAGGGCAACAAATAAAACCTGAATAACTTTGTATTGTGGCTGACTGTTGCAGTGTCTTGCAGCTTAAATTCAATCCATTTATCTGGATTGAGTGCTGAAGAATGAAATAAATGCATCAGTTAGGAGTCTATTACCAAGGGTGACAAAGCATATATAACAGCACAGGCAAGACTTTCAGCTTCATGTAACTAATCACTATAAAATACAACTCCTGGCCTAGCAATGAAAGAAGGGTCAGGATTTGTTCTTTTTTTTTTCCATGAGAAGCTGATGTCCTCTTTTAGTCTTTTGTTAAAGAAAGAAGATTTCAACTCATCTAAATTGTTTATTACATTATCTTGTAAGAATATTTATATATTAGAAAGGAGACATATTTGCAATAGAAAAGGTTAGGCTTGAGAGAAAAGAAATCTGACCTACTTTAGGACCAACTGCTTCATTGATATGATCTAGCTGAACCTGTAATTAAAAGAATACTACATCATTCAATATCTTATCAAATGCAAAATGCAATACAAGTACATTTCCTTTTTTTCCCTTTTGATAGATAAAAGCACAAGATTGCTTTTATCTCATGGTAGAGAAATGGGAGAGTCTCATTGATCAATAAGTACTACACTACTACTACTGTATTAGTTCAGTTTAGCCAAAGATTCTCTATTTGAATGGACAAACCAAACCTGAATCTAAATAATGATGAAAACTGGAAGATTAAGAAAAAGAAACCAAAATACCAAATAGTTATTGGGAAAATCAAGCTGCTACTCCTGGAAAGACAAATTTCACTAAAACTGTCCTAAGAAATTGGGAAGAAACTAGCATCACAAACTGCCCATACAGAAAATTAAACTAGAAGGGAAATCTAAGAATTAGATTTAAATTGATTACTTCTTAGATGTTTGTCCATTTTATAACTGTTACACTTGTACAAAGAAGAAGAAAACAACACAAGAAAAAGAAAATGCCTCAGTAAAAATATATACAATAATAATGAATGTATGAAGGAGAATTACAACCAAAGAGCCATACAGCAATGAAATGAAGTCAGCTATTACTCCTGATTCAACATTCCACTCTATCCATGAAATCGTTTCAAAATTCAATTTTCTTTTGACAGACAACATGAATTTTATTAAGTGGTAGAATAGAATGAGTTAGGTACATAATACAGGATCTGTAATAGCACCCCCATCGGGCAAGTCTCCCTTTCCTTACACTACAATCCCCTATTACAATGTGCCTAATACAGCTGTTCCCTATTTACCCTTTGCCTGGCCATGGTAACAGCCAAGGCATTTTCTGACCCATAAGTCCACTGGAAGCTTGCTCCCAATTCTGTTTCTAGAACTCTTAATTCTTTCAAGTAGTCCCAATATCTCCAAGATCCTTGTTTGTTGTATTTCAGCTGAGTAATCACCACCTTTGAATCTCCCTCCACAATAAATTTCCTTACATTTAGAGATCTTGCCAATCTTAGGCCTTGTAAGATGGCTACCAGTTCAGCCCTAGTAGAGTTCTCATATCCTATGGGAACTAAGTACATTGCCAAAATTCAAATTAACAGCCTAAACGATATAAAAACTAATTTTAAAAGACTGTAGAGGGATACAACTCAATACTTGTTGAGCAACAAGGATGCTATCGGTTGGAAATAGCAATTAAAAACAGAAGATCAACAAAGATCAACCTTATTCTTTGATAACATGTGGAAGAACATATAGCCAGAAGAGTTCATTTAACAACTGGGATTTTTTCCATTGGTTGTCTAAATCAATATAGTGATAATAATTTTGGAAAGAATACTCACCTATATTCCTCATCCTAAACAATATCGAAAGAAAAATCTTATAAGCTACAACTTTGATCCTAATTGAGTATTGAAACAAACCTAACAAAATCAATATTCTTTGATTGCACTCAATGTCTAATACTCTAATTTATTTCTTATTATCTTTTGTTTCCTTATCAGAAATTTCTGTTAATCCATGTACCTACCAAACCACAGCATGTGGAACTAGAATAAAGAGAAAGACATATATAATAAACTATAATTAATCCATCAATCCTAATAAACATTTTTGGTCTTTTTCTCTTTATAGAATACATGAACCTGGGGTTGCAAAAAGGAAAAAAAAAAAAAAAAAAGAGCCAGAAAGAACCAATGGAAAGGAAACAGGAACTGACATGGTTTGGTAATATGCCTACATTTAGGGGTGCTCACGGTTTGGTTAACCCAGCTGTGGGGCTTTTTTTTGGAACCAAACCGGTACCACTTGTTTTTGGAAAACCAAAAACCTGAACCAATTGGTTAACTGATTGATTGGTTCAGTTTTTGACCGGTTTGGTTCTTTGGTTTTTCTTTTTTTTGGAGTTTTTAATATATGTTATAAATAATATATAATTATATAATATAAGTACTAAAGTATATGTAATATATCAATATTATAAATAATACATTATATATTATATATTATATATATTATAAATATATATAATGCATATATATTTATATTACTGGTTGGTTCGGCTAACTGCCAGTTTTTCATATTGGTTAACCAAACCAGTAGCTTTGATTTTTCCAAAACCGAACAGATCAGTTTGGTAACCAGATTTTTTGGTTCGGTTTCGTCAGTTCATTTTGGTTTTTGATGATCACCCCTACCTACATTCATGAGCAAGTATGACCAGAATTCCACATTAAGATTTTATGAAAGCAAATTAAAGAACCTCCCAAAGATGTGCTTTTGACCAAAAAATCATATAGATGATCCAAATCTCAGTCCTAAATTTACCAAGTAAGCTAGTTTCCAGCCAAGGTCCAGGATAAAATTTGAAAGTTGAAACACATGAATAGCATCTTTTGAGGGAAGATGTTATCCTACCGAAATGAAGATAGCAATCCAAAGTCTAAACTAACCAATTCCTCTACCTCATCTGTCATCATTTCCAATAAAACTCAAAGAGAATTAGCAATTTGGCAACGCAGACCAATTTAACTAACAGTACATGGACAAATATAACTAGAATGCTAAACCAGTTCTATTCAAGATTTTGTATTCACAAAAAAAAAAAAAAAAAAAACAAGAGAAGAAAAATAAATGTATAAAAGCTCTAAGAGAAAAGGGGTAACTATTGCTCCTGATCCTGAAGCCCAAATACCACTTCTCAATAACCAATTCCAAAACAAATAACATAAGAATCTAGACTATGTAGATCACAGCAGCTTTTATGTTCAGGCTGCCTTAGCAACTGTTTCTTAGAAAATCCAAGTAAGCTTAACCCCAGAAACCTTTTCCATTGTATTCAAAGATTATAAGACAGACACTTAAATAAAACTAGCATCATCTAGCAAAACAAACAAGTATATATAAAACTAGCATTACGAACAATCCAGATGACTGTCTGCGAATAGAAATGAGGCTCCCAGAAAATTCCACTTTACGATCAAATCTTATCAAATCCATTGATCCAAATTTCATTTTATTCACAAGTTGCGGCAAGTTCCCATAGAATCCAAATGCAACAAAAAACATCCAGTAATCGCATACTTGTCAAACTAAAACGAACAGGTGCAGTAGTCCTTTGAAGAATCATATTACTTGATTCTCAAACTTCGACCAACCAATATCCCCAACATCTATAATTACATTTTCATTTCCTCGAGATGGGTGATCTTCACCTACTCATCTCCAATTCAAGCGAGCATATTACCCTAGTATTCCCAAACCCAGATTAAAAATACCAACTTCTGAAGTACCCAAATAACATGATTCCAGTCAAATTTAAGTGCAGCCCATAGTTGGAACAGATTCAAGTAAGCCAAAAGAAAACAAACAGCAGGAAAATTACCACATTCGGCGAAGAAAAGTAGTAGTAATAAGAAATTCCACCAGAAACAGCAGCGATTGCTCCATAGGGAATCCGAAAACCACCAAAATTGGATTTAGGTTGATCTTTGAAGGCATTGGCGAATGCCAGAGGAGCAGCTTTCGCAAGTCTCCTGAAAAACTGAGCCATTTAGAACGAAAACAAGATCAATAGAACAAGGGAGAGCAGGGCTTTTGAGTTTTGATTCCTGAATTTCTCCAGTTGGTTGAGTCGTTTTAGTGGGAACCGGGATGACTTGAGAGTGAGAGATTCTTGGACTCGATATCGAACTGAAGCTGAAATGATCAACGCGTGATGCACGTGATGTAGAAGATAACAAAAGTAGTCTCGATATCGAACTGAAGCTGCGGAAGAACCGTTGATTTCGAATTTTTTGTTCTCGGATTTAGAAACGCGTGTATGAAAAAAAATATATATAGAGGAAGTGATGTTATGGGTGCTCACGGTCGAACCGAAACAATCGGTTAACTGGTTTGGTTGATCGGTTTTCGGTTTTTTGGTCGGTTTAGTTAGTTGGAGGTTTTTTCCTAATTTCACCGAGTCCGGATTTGCACCTCACAGAGCGCATCTCACAGTCCCATCCAACCGTTTACTAATAACATCTTCTGTACTTTGTATTGTTATTTGTGGGAAGATATTTTCAATGCACGGTGAGATGGGCTGTGAGGTCGGTGTGAGGTGCGCTCTGTGAAGAGCATATCCTAATTCAATTGAACTGAAACTGAACCGATCAATTTGATAACTTTGGTTCAGATTTACATGAGCCCTTTGGCTGGAAAAAACTTGGGCTGTTCAGAAAAATTATAAAAAAAAAAAAATCCAAGCTCTTTGAGAGGAATTGGGATTTGCTCCTCATAGAGCGCGTCTCACACTGACCTCAAAGTTACAGCCCACCCTATATTGGAAACATCTCCCCATGAATCAATCTAAGTTCAGGAGATGTTTCCGATGTGTGGCCAATACATGCTGTGAGGTTAGTGAAATTTGCACTCTATGAGGAGCAGATCCAGACTCGTTTGAGAGCTTCTCAAAGATGACACATTAACAACAATCAACATCAAAATATAGGACCAACAAGCCAACCAAAAGGAGATCAGATTGGTGCCCCACATGGAATCCAGATCTCCTACCCACAGTACACTACAAATGTACATTGGGAATATCTCCCCATGAATGGTAACATGTAAATACAAAAGATATTCCCAATATATAGCTATAATGTCCAGTGGGTAGGTGATCTGAGCTCCCCCACATGAAATGTATATGTGGGGCGTTTGTGGGGAGATCACATTGGTGCTGTGTGAGATGTGCATGTAGGGCGTTTATGAGGGAGATCACATTGGCACCCACAGCACATCTAAACTGTGCATTAGGAATATCTCCAAATGACAAGTATGGGACATGTTCCCAATGCACGCTCAGATGTGCATGTGGGGCGTAGATGTGAATTCTTTGTCAGGCACCCTCTGTGGGGCGCCAATTTGATCTCGACACTAGAACACATGTGGGATCCATGATTTGTAGTCTGAATAATTGGACTGTGACTTGTGAGAAGTCCAAGATAATGTGATACAATAAGTGTTTTCAACCCGCCATTGACCCAATTGATTTTAAGGTATTAAATCAATTTTCTCTTATTAAATCCTATATTTTAAGTTATTTTTCACTAATTAATGCTACTAGTTAGATCCGTGTTAATATTTTTAACAACATAAACCCATATATTTTAAAATTGACAAAAAAACAAAACCATTATTTATCCAATTGGTGGCTAAGCAATTCAACCATCTGAACCAATTTGATCAACCTATGAAGTCATAGTTAGGTAATAAAAATTTTAAAATACAAAAATTTAGAAATTTACAAAAACAAATGTAGAAAATTAGACACATTTATGATATTTTTATTAATCAAATTAAAAAAAGTAAGTATAATAAATAAGAATTATTTTTATTGATAATGAAAATGAAATACATAATTTAGAACTAACAAAAAATGAAATATAAAAATTAATAATAAATAGTTCAATTTTTGGGTTAAATGTGTTAACCTTTAATGTCATAAATAAATAATAAAAATTAATAAACTATAAAAATCAAAAATGAAAAAAATACATAAATTTTGCAAAAAAAAAGCATTTAGGCACATGTATAATATCATGAACTTATCATATTAAACAAAAAGTAAGTATGACATATGAAAATTATTTTTACACACAAAAAGACAAAAAATTAATAAATCTATAATTATATATTTACACTACTATTAAAAATACGAATAAGATTGTGAAACTTTCTTTTGATTAAAATCAATGTTTTAAAAACTGACCCAAAAATAGAACCGCTTTGGCTTCCGATTTCTAGGCCAGTGGTTCAACCGTCTAGTTTAAGCGGGTCAAACCGGTAAAATGTAAAGTATAATGTAACTTTTTATTTTGACTGTTAAATTAGGATTAAGTTAAAGTCCACCACATATGTACATTATTATGAGAGGGGAGTGTGAGACTTTGAGAAGGAGGTGGTTGGTTAAAGCTGAGAAGAAGAAGAAGAGAATGAAGCGTTATTGGAGGTGGTTGTCACCATGTTCATCGGTTGTTTTTGCATAACCATTTTGCCCCGAGGAAAAGAAGAAGAAGTCCACGTTCATCATCACCGCCACTACAACACTGTTTGTCTTCTTCTTCCATCTCTCTCATTGCTCTAAATCTCTCTCAAATCCCAGATCGTTTGCTCCATTGGTGTATCTCAACTTAATATAAGATTGATGTTTAATCTCTCACCACTTGCATCGATTTTTTTTATTTCTTCATCGGAATTATAATTTTGTTGCTATTACAACTTAAAAAGAATCATAGAAATAAGAAAACTCAAAATAAAAATGAAAAAACTAAAAACCCTAACTAATTTTGGCCATTGGGAATAATTGAACAAGATTATGACATATGAAAGTATTTTTTATTTTCTAATTTCTATTTTAAAATAAATAAAAAATTTAGAATTAGTTTAAAAGCAACTCGAGAACCGTTAACTAGACGTTGAACATTTTAATGATTAAACTAAGCTAGCGGTTCTCTGACAACTTCAACATTTTTTTTTTGTAAAATAGCAATTCATGGCCAAATGGAACCAGTGACTTGATCGGTTTCCAGGCCAAACGATTTGACCATCTAAATTTAGTCTATATTTAATTGTAAGGTTCAAATTATATAGTGAACTACTACTTTTTACCTCATTCAATTCCCTCAATTTAAATTTTACATTTTTTTAATAAATGAACAAAAGAAAAAAGATATAAGAAAAAGATAAAACACTACAAAAGGAAGAATCTAGCAAAGCAGAATGACTGTCAATGATACTTGAAACTTTACAATTCAGTTTGATTATCACATATTTGGATGATGTGTTTATGTAATCAGATTTGGATTTTGCAATATGCATATGATTAATGATAAAAAATAAAAGATATAAAATAAATAAAGTTTATAGAAAATTTTGGATATATTATTACTATAATTATTATCATCTAGAATTGCCACGTACAAAGCACATGCACACTTACTAGTATACACACACATATGTATGTATATATATAAATATATACCTTAAGTACATGTGGGACGGTCTGACCTATTCGACCTGGACAGTGGAACTGGTGTCCTGCAACCTGGATGCAATAACAGTTCGGCCTCCGGGTCAATTTTTAAAACATTGGATACAATTACACATACAAAGGCCCCGACTTAACTTTGAACCATTCTCGTTTTCCCCCGCAAAAAATAACTGTTCTACTGGATAAGGCCCAGGCCCAGCTCAGTTATGATAGCCCGGCCCAGTCCTACCAAATCTTGGCCAAGTACTTAAGTTGTGCTTCCACCCCACCCCAGATCCCCCAAGGGCCCATTTAGGAGGTCTGAGCTGAAGATTGTGCTGCTTTGAAATACTCTGAATAAGCTATCCAAACAAGCTAAAGTGGATAGCACTTCTAAATGACTGACTGACAGCCAATTTGGGCTCTCCAGATTTTTCACCAAAGATATAGGCTGTCTGTGTGAGGCCCACCTCGGAAAGTCAGAAGCTGCTGCACTTCCATCCTCCCAAATAGGCACCAAGTGCGGCCATATTTAGCTCCCAAACAAGTTTTCAATGGGGAAAATTCTTGATCATTCGGCCTTCATTACAAAACAACCAGACTAGCAGAGACCCACCCCCTTTGTTTACTAAATGTCTCAAAGTTTGGGTTAGGCTGGTCTTATAACAAGCCCAAAACTAATTAGGATCAGGTCCAGGCCCAGGTCCAACCTCTAGCCATAAAACCCTTGCTCAACTCATGCAAAAAGCCCATATGGCACAGATGAGTTCAGGTTGGACCCGCCCCATTTGCATCCCTACATGCTTAATGCATTTGTGGCTTTGAAACTCTATAAATCAATATAATAGCTAGGAGGGCTCCTTTGCTAAGCTAGCTAAGTTGTCCCAGACCCTAGTTTGCCATTTGAGTTTTTCCTCAATGGCCTGGGAATCTTCCACATGGAAAATTAGCTCTGAGTTCCCCTCCTTGACCCAAGAAAGAGAATTCATGCCTCATTTTGTCATTGAATTTCAGCAGAATTTATGTGAAACTCTTCTTAACTTTTGAATTTTCAGCCACTGACCTTGAGTACTTGACCCATTAATATGTACCTAGGGGTGTCAATGGACTGGTTTTGGGTTGGACCCCATCCAAATCAAAATTAATTTAATGGTTCAAAGTATTTATTAGATTTGATTGAACCTTCTCCATCTGTAATGGATTTATATTGGGCGGATCATATTGAACCAATATCCAATCCATTGATAGAAGATAAGAACATAGGTGTCAGTGGACCATATTTGAATTGGAGTAAATCTAAATTAAAACCAATTTGAACAAATTGGATAGTCCAGGCATTAAATTAGACCAGTCCAAAATGGTCCAAAGTATTCATTGGATTGGATTGGATCTGGTCCATTTGTGGTGGACTCATATTGGACCAAATCTAGTCCAATTGACACCCCTAAATTGTACCAACCCTCCTGTTAGAAGAAGTACAGTAAGGGTGTGTTTGTATTGTTTCAATTGGAATTCACATGGAAATTCAATTGCATGTGAAATGGAACATCTCTGCACCAGAGCTCTCTAAAGTACAAATTGGGTGACACATGGGAATTGATTCTCTTGGTCTATATTAGTTCAGAATGTCTCTCTAAATCACTCTAACTAAATAACTGGTTATTGATATTTTAATAAGTATAATTTAATTTATGTTTTGAATTTCACTACTATTTATTT